TGTTCCTAGACTTTTCTAGAGTGCCTTCTACAATATTGCTTACAGTTTTCTAGAGGAGCAGAAGTTATGAGTCTGTCTGTTTTCATAATGAGCATTTATTGAATTTCACTTTATTTATTTATTAAATAAAATTTTATTTAAAAACCACTGGGCAAAATAATTTTAAAAATGAAGCAGCTAACTCGTTCAAACCTCAGGGCAACCCTTTGAGATAAGCACTATCGTCTCACCGTACAAATGAGGAAACCGCAGCACAGAGCAGTTAAGTCTGTTGCTAGAGGTGAGCTTTTAGAGGAATTAGACTAATTCATGGTTGAAATAGACTAATTCATAGTTGAAATTGGATTTAGAATCTTTCAAACCATAAAGGATCTCCCTGAATTATCTCAGGTGAAAACTAATGGTGAAAATACTCTCATACATGGAATCTGATGCATGGCCTTTTGTGACTGGCTTCTTTCACACAGCATCATGTTTTCAGAATTCATCTGTGTTGTAGCATTTATCAGAAATTCCTTTTTATTGTTGAGTAATGGTCCATTGTATGCATATGCCATATTTGGCTTATTTATTCATCAGATGATAGATATTTGAGTTGTTTCCACTTTTTAGCTATTATGAATAATACTACAGTGAACATTCATGGGCAAGTTTTTCTGTGGATGTATGTTTCATTTTTCTTGGGTATGTAACTAGGAGTGGAATTGCTGGGTCATATGGTAACTCTGCGTTTAACTTTTTGAGGATCTATCCAGCTATTTTCCAAAACAGCTACATCATTTTCTATTCCCTCTAGAAGTGTATTAGGGGTCCAATTTCTCCACAGCCTCACCAATATTTGTAATTATCTATCTCTTTGATTATAGCCATCGGACTGGGTGTGAGGTTGTATCTCACTGTGGTTTAACTGACATTTCCCTGGTGGCTACTGATGTGGAACACCTTTTCCTGTGCTTATTGGCCATTTGTGTGTCCTCTTTTGAGAACTGCCTATTCAAATCCTTTGCCCATTTTGTTTAATGGGTTCTCTGTCTGTGTATTATTGAGTTACAAGTTTCCCTTCTCTTTGATATGCTTTCTTCCTCTGGCTTTTAGGCCACCACAGTCGCTAGGTGGTCCTCCTCCCACTTGTCACCCCATTACAGTCTTCCCTACCAGCTCCTTCTCATATCCCTAACTTCTTAATGTGGGAGAGCCCAGGGCTCAGCCCTTGGTCCTCTTCTCACTCCCATCCAGCCTTGTATTTTCACACCGTCTACATGCCATCAATTTCCTAATATCTATTTCAGCAGGAGCTCCGCCTGCACCAGGCAACCTTGGATAGTGGGTTGGGGAAGCACTCTGCTCTGAAACTCGGTGTCTCTCAACCCCCACCAAGTGTCACTGGGTCAGGAAAAGTTCACTTTGGCCCCACAGGCAGCACTAAGAGGAGCAAGCAGGAGCCACCTGATGAACAAAGCAAGCTACAATAGTGTGCGCCAGCCCTGAAAACCAAATTCCCCTTGGAACCTCACCACAAAAGCTGGCCAGGACCTGCACATTCAATCTAAACAGGATGACTACTTCCTAAGATAGGAGATCCTCTTTAAAAAGGATCCAGACTCTCCTAATGTAACATCTAAAATGTCCAGAATGTAACTGAGAATCACTCATCATACCAAAAAATAGGGGAAAATAATAACTTGAATGAGAAAAGGCAATCAACAGACCCCAACATGAGATGATGAATTGATGGCAGAATTATCTGACAAAAACTTCAAAGCAACAATCATAAAAATCCTTCAATGAGTGAGGGCAAATTCTTGTGTAGTAAATGAAAATATCTCAGCCAAGAAATAGAGGATATAGATAGAAATCATGGAAGTGAAAAATTCAATAACTAAAATAAAAAGTTCACTGAATTGGCTAGATAACAGAACCAATAGAAAAAGAAAACAGAAAGACAAACCTTGTATCATCTCACTTATGTGTGAAATCTTTTTAAAAAAGTGTTGAATTCATACAAACAGAGAGTAGAATGGTGGTTACCAGGGACTAGGAAGTGGGAGAAATGGGGAGATACTGACCAAAGGTACATGCCTTCAGTTACAACAGGAATAAGTTCTGGGGATCTAATGTACAGCAAGGTGACTATAGTTACTAATACTGTATTGTTAAAATTTACTAGCTAGTATATCTTAAGTATGCTCACCACACACTCACAAAAAAAGTAACTATGTGAGGTGAGGAAGGTGTTAATGAATTCATCATGGTAGTCATTTTACAAAGTATATGTGCATCAAATCATCATGTGTACACTTTAAATATATAAAGTTTTGTCAACTGTACCTCAATAAAGCTGTAGGAAGGAAGAAAGGAAGGAAGGAAGGAAGGAAGGAAGGA